TAAAAAAATTAAAAAAAGAAAATATAGGTATACATCATCATTTTGAGTTGCTACTGTTGATGACTTCAATTTTTTAAGAAAGATTTTATTTATTTATTTGAGAAAGAGAGAGCATGAGCAGAGGGGGAAGGGGCAGAGAGAGAGGGAGAAGCAGGCTTCCCGCAGAGCAGGGAGCCCTGCATGGGACTCTGTCCCAGGACTCCGGGATCATGACCTGAGCCAAAGGCAGATACTTAACCAGCTGAGCCACCAGGCACCCAACGACTTCATTTTTAAGACCAATTTTTAAGGCCAATTTGCCTTAGCCTAGGTTCCCTATGAAACAGAACCCAAGACAAGCAATAGATGTTTATGTTTTATTTGGGAGGTGCAATCCCAAGGCAGCAAGAGAGAAGGAAAGAATGCATGAAATAGTGAAAGAATGGACACCATGCCACATGATATCTTTTGTTTCATGATGAGACTATAAGAGGTAAAACCTGTTCCTTCACAGGTATACTTGTCCTGTGATGCAACATATACCCAGAAAGACTATATGAAGTCATGCCTCAGAACATCCTTGGAGGGAGGAAGGGAGAAGAAATTTGTCTGCCAGCTCCCTTTCTTCTCCTCTTTTCCATTGATCAAAATTTTCCTCACAAGGAAGTTTACTCCCTCATACCCTCTCTCGTCACTCAGCATCTTTGGCAGCCATTTGCCAAGCCAGATCCATTCTGCAGTGCAGTTCTCCATTTGAAGTGTCAGAAAGAGCCAGAGACTATGAGTGTGGCTGATTGGACCCCGCAGGTGGACTTTTATGGATCTATGCAGGATGGGTCAGCATAGCAATAGCTAAAGTAAAGTAAAGAAAGCAAAGGGAACCAGTGTCTAAAACATAGGTAAGTCTGGGCGCCTGGGTGGCTCAGTTGGTTGGGCAACTGCCTTTGGCTCAGGTCATGATCCTGGAGTCCCTGGATCGAGTCCCGGGGAGCCTGCTTCTCCCTCTGACCCCCCCCCCCATGTACTCTCTCTCTCTCTCATTCTCCTTCTCTCAAATAAATAAATAAATAAATCTTAAAAAAAATAAAACATAGGTAAGGCTGAGAGAACCTGTAGAGGCAAATAAGATATATACTGAGGAAATATAATTTAGTTTATTTTCAAATTTTCATTATAACTAAGGCTGCAATGAAAATCATTTTACATACATGTTGTGCACTATCTGTATACTATCTTGAAATGAATTCTCAGACATATATTGCTGACAAAGGCTTCTCAGTCCCAGGGAATTTTCCATATTGCCTTAAGAGAAAAGAATAAGGAAAGGGAGGGTGTCCAAGGAACTTGGGTGGAATCTAGTTTCACAGATTGTCTCTTGCCTTGGCAGCTGGCTGGATTCTGCTGCGTGATTTAGAAGAAATGCTGAAGCTTTGGAAACATCCCCCTTCTTAGTTTCTTAGTTTTCACTTTGTTTCTTACTTATGTACCTGATGTTTAACCTGAACATGGTTCAGCCAGGATATTCTAGCAGAGAAATGCAGGCACTTTTCTCTTTAAGACTTCTTTCTTGCTGGGAAGGTTGTCTACATCAACCAAGCATGTAGATTCAAGAGCAACATAATGGACTACTGATGGGAGAGCGGGGGGCGACTACCCCAGTCAGTCATACCAGCCAGAGAATCAGTCCCGGGGGTTGGGGAGCAATGGTGAAGCAGATAGTGAAGCCAGACTGTCCTGTTTTCCATCCCTGTCCCCCAGCTAACTAGCTTGTAACCTTGGACACGTCACACACTGTTTTACTTTCCTACTTCTATAAAGTGAGGGGATTGAACTAAACTAGACTAATTCTAAGGAACACTTTAGCTTCACGATTTTGGTAAAACACAAAAGTATAAATTAATGAGTAATATATTTCTTCTTTGGGGGCGCCTGGGTGGCTCCGTTGTTAAGCGTCTGCCTTCGGCTCAGGTCATGATCCCAGGATCCTGGGATCGAGCCCCACTTTGGGCTCCCTGCTCCACGGGAAGCCTCTCCCTCTCCCACTCCCCCTGCTTGTGTTCCCTCTCTCGCTGTGTCTCTTTCTGTCAAATAAATAAATAAAATCTTAAAATATATGTATATATATTCTTTGGTGTTTGGCTGCAAAATAGAATATAGTGAATAGAATGTCATGAAACTCTGCCAAGTCATGGCGATACTGTTAAAAAAATTGTAAATATTATTTATGGTGGTAAAAATATTGGAAACATCCCACATGCCCCAAAGTAAAAGAACACTTAATGAAGTGGTTACTCTATAGCGTAGAGAGGGTGGTGGTGGTGATGGTAACAGTAACAGTGATGATGAGGGTAAAGATGGAACTTGGGTGGAATCTTTGGTGGTGCGAATGGTGGTGGTTGGGTGGGTAGATCAAGATGGAGTGAGGCTTCTTAGTGTGCATGTAATTTTATTTTGTTTTGAGTTCTGTAATTCCAGTTGATATTAATTTTTTAAATTAATACTTTGACATTTTTAAATGTCCATGGTATAATAATTAAGATATTTTAAGAGCACAGTACCATTTTTACATATGTGTGTATATGTGTATAAAATGATTCCAGTTTTGTTTAAAAATGTGTAAAAAAATTCGAAAAAAATACTTAAAGTATTAACAACTACAGATAGCCCCTAACTTAACGATGATTTGACTTAAGATTTTTTGACTTTACTATGGTATGAAAGCAAGATACACTCAGTAAGAACCATACTTGGAATTTGAATTTTGATCTTTCCCAGGCTAGCTAAATGCAATATAATACTCTCTTGTGATCCTAGGCATCAGCAGCAAGCCACAGCTCCCAATCAGCCCCGTAATCACAAGGGTAAACAGTTAATATGCTTACAACCATTCTGTACTCATAAAACATTCTGTTTTTCACTTTTAGTATAGTATTCCATAAAGTACATGAGATATTTAACACTATTATAAAATAGGGTTTGTGTTAGATGGTTTTGCCCAACTGTGGGCTAATGTAAGTGTTCTGAGCACAATTAAGCTGGGTTACCATATTTGGTATGTTAGATGTATTAAATGCATTCTGACTTAAAATATTTTCAACTTAGGTTTATCAGTAGTAACCCCATTGTAAGTCAAGGAAGACCTGTATTTTGGGGAAATGAGCTTGAAAGTAATACATTTTTTTATTGAAGTATAATTTACATACAATAATATGTTAGTTTTAGGTATACAACATATTGATTCAACTGTTCTATGCATTATTCAGTGTTCCCCACAATAAGTAGTCACCATACCATGTTATCACATATTATTGACAATATTTCCTATGCTGTACTTTTCATCTTTGTGATGAATTTATTTTATAACTGCAAGTCTTACCTCTTGATCCTCTTTATTTTGCCCATCCTGCCACCCGTTTCCTTTCTGGTGATTACCAGTTTTTATATTTAAGAGTCTGCGGGTTTTGTTGTTGTCGCTCTTTGTTCATTTGGGTTTTTTTTTTTTTTTTTGGTTCCACATGTAAGTGAAATCATATGGTATTTGTCTTTCTTTGTCTAATTTATTTCACTTAGCATAATACCCTCTAGGTCCATCTATGTTGTCACAAATGGCAAGATATCATTCTTTTATGGCTGAGTAATATTCCATTGTGTGTGTGTGTGTGTGTGTGTGTGTGTGTGTACCACATCTTTATCTATTCATTTATCAATGGACATGGGTTGCTTTCATATCTTGGCTATTATAAATAATGCTGTAATAACCATAAGGGTACATATATCTTTTCAAATTAGTGTTTTTATTTTCTTTGGGTAAATACCCACTAGTGGAGTTACTGGATCATATTTCTATTTCTATTTTTATTTTTTTGAGGAACCTCTATACTATTTTCCACAGTGGCTGCACCAACGTACATTCTCACCAACAGTGTGTAAGGGTTCCCTTTGTTCCACATCCTTGCCAGAACTTGTTATTCTTTCTTTTTGGTACTAGCCATTTGGACAAGTGTAAGGTGATATCTCATTGTGATTTTGATCTGTATTTCCCTGATGATTAGTAATGTTGGGCATCTTTTCATACTTCTCTTGGCCATCTGTATGTCTGCTTCAGAGACATGTCTGTTCAGGTTCTCTGCTCATTTTTAAATTGGATTTTTTTTGTTATGTGTTGAGTTATATAAATTCTTTATGTATTTTGGATATTAACTCCTTATCAAATATGTCATTTGCAAATGTATTCTCCAGTTTATTGGGTGGCCTTTTTGTTTAGTTGATAGCTTTCTTTGCTGTGCAAAAGAGTTTTATTTTGGTGTAGTCCTGTTCCATGAAATTATCTGTGAGACTACCTTGAAAGGCCAAAGGGGCAGTAAGACCAAAGAGAAAGGCTGACAAGCCCAGCTGGGTGAGAAATGGCTTATTAGAGACTTATGCACAGAAAAAGCATGTCTCAAGTGGCTGCAAGACAAGTAGATCTCTGCAATCCTACCTCCCATAAGACCTACTTTTATAGCCTTGGAGGCCAGCAGGTATGTGCTGGTAGACCACCTGGGAGGAAATGCAGTTTTATCTCCAAGTAGATCAAGGATGTTATGACACAAGCGTATACTTAAGGGTTATTACATGTATGGTGGGATGAAAAGAAAGAATAGGGAGGAAGGGAGTATGCTTAAGAAGACTTTAGGTGACAGAATGATCATCATGGCAGATTTGTCCAAAATGGCATTAGTCTGGTACACACACCACACTCCTCAGTTCTGGCTCTTACAATTTCATGCACCCACCTCTTTCATGATATCCCCTGAGTCATCAGAAAGGGGCTCTTTGGGGCAGGGTTTTGCCAGATGGTGTTCAAGTTGAAGGCGTAAACCACAGCAGTAGTACAGACAGTAATGGGAAAGGAGATCCATACTGCTTACAGAACAGAGAATGAGGAATATTTTTTGGCATTGTATTCCCAGGTTCTAAACCAGCTTGATAACCACTGGCTTAAAGTGGGCCTGGGATCATTTCCCTGGAGGAGTGACACCCACCATCATCACATGGAAAAAGGTAACTTGAATAAAGGGAGCAGATGACAATAGCATGAATCTCATTGTAAACCATCCATGTAGGTCTGTGCCCATTGCACAGAAATTTTTCTTCACTTGAAAAAGAGAAGAGAAACAGGCTAAGGATGAAAGAATAAATGCTTAGTAGGTACTTGTCTGGGGAGATCCCCTCCATCTATTAAGATGATGTTAGTGGCTTCTCTCTTTGTCATGAGGACAGACGTAGGCTGAAGCTCATGAGAGGGAGGGACATACCAGACATGTGGCCCAGGGGGCAAAGAATTACCCTATATATATAAAATTAAAGGTGATGCAAATGACCATATTAGGTAACCAACTCAGAGTATAGATGCCTGTCCAGAATATGTATATATTGGCTATTTTGGCCCTGACTTTAGCAGGATCAACAGAGACCGCTTTAGCTGTCTAGTACATTTCTTACACTCTGGAAAGAAATAGTCTATCCATCCTGGGGGAGGTTGCCATTCCAAGCCCCATCCAAATGTTTCCTCCCATGGGAGGATGGGCTAAGAAGTGCAGAACCACACCTGTCTCTGGCCTGCTCTGGGCTCAGGAACCAGTGCTGCAGGCCTTGTTTTTTGGACAATAGTCATAGGTGCACTGGTTTTGGTATCTAATCATGCATAGAGGGTGGTGCCATAGCCTGTTCCAATTAAATTTAACAAGGGTATGGCTTCTGGCAAGACTTTCATCCATCTGTACAACTGTGGTGTGTAGGAGGGCTCTGAATTGAGCTTTAAGAATGCCATTCTTCCTTTCAATTAGCCTGACTGCTTATGGATTATAAGATAAATGAAATTGCCAGTGTATGTCCCACTCACAAGCCCAGGCCTGGTGAAATGTGTTCCCCTATCACTATCCTTCAGGGATATTTGTATATGACACAAAGTTGTTCTAGGCCATTGATGGTAGCATTTTGATCGGCCCTTTTACAGGAGAAGTCTTGCATGAGCCCAGTGGTTGTATCCACACAAGTTAGGTGTATTTTTTCTCTTGACTCATGAGTAGAGGGCCTGTATAATCAATTTGTCAGTCTAAAACTGGTTGGGTTGCACAGTGATTGCGTCGTGTATTGTATGAAACCTTCCTAAGTCTCAGAAGGGAGAAGATCAGGCACTTGCCTGCGACTGCTAGGATGTCAGGGTAAGGAAGGGCATGCAGATCTCTTTGCTGTGTTCCAACCACATTAGCACTGTGATGCCCATGTGCTTATGAACCCCTGCAGCCAATTCTGAACTTTGTACAGGGCTAAGGGCCCTGATCTTTACTGTCTGCCTCAGTATTCCCAGGAGGTAAAACAGGCCTACGTGCCGAGACATGAAGAACAGTAAGGGAGGCAGCAGGGTCCTTTCCCATATACCTTTCCATAATTCTGCTTTCCATAATGGTTTCTGTAAAACTTAGCAGTTGTCCATCCAGGTTGTCAAACCCTTATAGACAGCCCAACTGTGCAGAAGTTAAGGGGCCAAGGTTTATGCACGCATGCCATCCAGGAAGCCCTCAATTCAGCCCATTGGCTGCTTTTATGATCTCCAGTTTCAAACCAGATAATCTGAGGTTGGATTGTTACCACAGTCCAGTGATTAGGATTCCCTGTACTGGAGAATCTTCAGGAAAAGGTATGTGTCTTTGTTTACTTGTGAAGAAGTTTCCATAGGAAGTTCTGGGAGAAAATTAAAGATTTCGTATTTTACTCGCCCCAGGTTAGCATGCAATTCAGCTCCCAATGGACTAATGGAGAGAATACTCCCTGGTTCTAAGTAAGCATGCCTTTCTTACAATGTAGGGGCCTGTGCTGTGACAGATGCTAGTCTTGTGAATATATCATCTGTCCACACTTTTATAGGCAACCCAGTCTGGACAGTTAGCAAAAGAGTGGCCATTAAGGACTCCATTTATTGAAGGGCCTTATAGACCCCCAAAACTTGTTGTTCAATAGGAAAATATTGTATCTCTACTCCCTTCCAGAGTTGTGACCAAAAGCCTAATGGGGCAATCTTTCCATGCTGTTCCTGCCATAATGCCCAACTCACCCCATCTGGTGTCACATCTAAGGCCACTTAGGTATCATCTAGGGTCATGGGGATACCAGATGAAGGCGTTCCTAAGGCCTGTGCTTGAACAACTGATATCTGAGCTTGATCAAAGGCAGTTTGATGTTCTTCTACCCAATGCCAATGTGTTCCCTTTTTTACCATATGGTAGAAAGGGTTCAGGCATTATGCTAGATGCCGGATAAAGGCCCTCCAGTACACCTAAAACTTACAGTTGCTTCACTGTGTTAGGGATGGGAAATTGTTGGATCTAGTCATTTACAGAGCCTGATATAAGATGTGTCTTACCTGACCAAGTAACCCTTAAAACCTTTACTGATGGCCCAAGGCCTTGTTCTTTCTTTCTTTCTTTTTTTTTTAAAGATTTTATTTATTTTTTGACAGAGAGAGAGAGACAGCGAGAGAGGGAACACAAGCAGGGGGAGTGGGAGAGAGAGAAGCAGACTTCCCACGGGGCAGGGAGCCCGATGCGGGGCTCGATCCCAGGACCCCAGGATCATGACCCGAGCCGAAGGCAGACACTTAATGACTGAGCCACCCAGGCGCCCTGGCCTTGTACTTTCTTTGGATCAATGGCCCATCCTCACTTTTTCAAATGAGAGCAGAGACCATTCAAATAAGACCATAACAGAGACAAGTCTTCAGAATTTAGAATCACATCATCAATATAATGGAACCTTTTAACTATGGGTGGTGGGTGGTTATAAAGACAAACCATGGGCAATCATATCATGGCAGATAGTGGAGCTATGCAAATAAGCTTGTGGCAATACCTGGAATGCCCACTCTTGACCATTCCATGCGAAAATGAATTGGTCTTATGATTCAGGATGCAAAGGAATACTAAAGAAAATGTTGGCTAAATCCCAAATCATGTGCTATTTATTCAATGATTCAGGTGATATTAGGGACAGCAGCATGTATTTTAGGAACAACCATAATACTTATCCATAATCAATGGTCATTCTCTAGGTGACGTCCAGTTTTTTCACAAGCCATTCAGAGCTATTATAGGAACTTTGTGCTGGCCTTGTTATTTGTTCTTTTGATAATTCCTGTATAGCGGCACATATTTCCTCAAATCCTCTTGGCAACTGATATTGCATTACATTTACAGTCTGGTGCAGGAGAGGGAGTAACACAGGATCCCTTGCAATTCCACATAGGATAGCTTTAATTACCCTATCTCAAAGGTGAAATTCTCCTACAGAGGTTTATAGCATTTTTCCCAAGAGAATATCCCTGCTTAATATATTCTCAGGTATTGGGAAAATAAAAACCTCACAAGGAGCAGGTGGGCTTTTACCTATTCCCAAGTACACTGCTGTGTGCTTCACCCTTATGGTATTTCCCCCATCACCATTAATGGCTGCCAAAGTCCCTGAGTGCCATTCTGGATTACCATGAATTAGGGCGCCTTCTGTTCCAGTATCCACTAAGGCCATAGTTTTTTGTTTATTTATTTTTTTTAGCAAAAACCAAGTTGTGAGCTCTATGTGAGGCCTCTGATTACCCCCACAGTTCTCGCATAGAGGCAGTCTTGTCTCCACCCCTGGTCTCTTGGCAGCGAGGTATCCAGGCTTGGTAAGAAGTCATCTGTGACTTAGTTGTTTCTTCCTTCTCCTCCCATGAAGGGCAGTGACCTCCTTTCATAAAGCCACAAGAACAGCATTTGACTGGTGGTCTATCTTATGCCCCAAGACTGTACCTAAGGGTTATTATATGTGTGGTTAGACAAAAGGAAGGAATGTGTATGAGGTTGTGCTCAAGAAGGCTTCAGGTCACAGAGCAGTGATCATGGAAGATTTGTCTGAGACGGTGTTAGCCTAGTTCAGTTCCAACAGTTTATTTTTGCTTTCATTTTCCTTGCCTGAGGAGACATACGTTGCTAAGGCTGATGTCCAGGAGATTACTGCTATGTTTTATTTTAGGAGTTTTATGGTTTCAGGTCTCACATTTAGGTCTTTAATCCATTTTCTTTCTTTTACATGTTGCTGTCCAGTTTTCCCAACACCATTTGTTGAGGAGACTGTCTTTTTCCCAGTGGATATTCTTCCCTGCTTTGTTGAAGATAAATTGACCATATACTTGTGGATCTGTTTCTGGGGTTTTCTATTCTGTTCCATTGATCTGTGTGTCAGTTTTTGTGTCAGTACCATACTGTCTTAATGACTATAGCTTTGTAATATAGATTGAAGTCCAGAATCATGATGACCCCAGCTTTTTCTTTATCAGAATTACTTTGACTATTCAGGGTCTTTTGTGGTTCCATACAAATTATGGGATTGTTCATTCTAGTTCTGTGAAAAAATGCTGTTGGTATTTAATAGGGGTTGCATTAAGTGTGTATATCGCTTTAGGTAGTATAGACATTTTAAAAATATTTGTTCTTTGAATCCATGAGCGTGGAAGATCTTTCCATTTCTTTGTGTCATCTTCAATTTCTTTCATCAGTGTTTTATAGTTTTCAGAGTATAGGTTTTTCACCTCCTTGGTCAGGTTTATTTCTAGGTATCTTATGGTTTTGGTGCAATTGCAAATTGGATTGTTTTCTTAATTTCTCTTTGTGCTACTTCATTATTAATGTATAGAAATCCAACAAATTTTTGTACATTTGATTTTGTATCCTGCAACTTTACTGGATTCATTGATCAGTTCTAGTAGTGTTTTGGTGGCATCGTTCAGGTTTTCTATATAGAGTATCATATCATCTGCAAATAGTGAAAGTTTTACTTCTTCCTTGCCAATTTGGTTGCCTTTTCTTCCTTTTTGTTATCTGATTGCTGTGGCTAGTACTATGTTGAGTAAAAGTGGTGAGAGTGGACGTCCTGGTCTTGTTCCTGAACTTAGGAGAAAAGCTCTTAACTGTTCCCCATTAATGATGACGTTAGATGTGAGGTTTTTAAATATATTGTCTTTGTTATGT